GTGTTCTTCAGGAAAGCAGACTCCAAATTTGACTTTGGGTAGAGCCCTAAGGTGGATTAGACTGTCATTCTGCCCACCTCAACTGCAGGCTGTAAGCGGCTTACTTGCAATATGACAGATTTAGCAAAAGTGACAGTTGCTTGCTGTCCAATATCATTAGCTTGCCCTGCCACAAGAGCTCAGACATGGTGCTCCATCTCCTTACAAAATCAGCTTATTAATAAACATACAGCCTGGCACACTCTTTTCCATGCAGCTGAAGCAGTACTTTGAGCAGGAGGCTGCCCGATCCACCCACCTATGGAGACTCAAATTCACATTCTAGCCAAGATGAGGTCAGAACAACAAACAAGTTCATTCAACTAGCATGTTAGAGGGAAAGGGATGGCTAAGCATCTGTACTTACCTTTATTACTCATCCTTTGTCTCCTTTATTACTCGGCTCCTCAAGTCTATGGAAGGGATAGCAATCTAATCAAAAGGTTGCTGGAGTCAGTGAAAACATCGCAGTTTATTGGTCTGCCTTAGGCATCATCCTTTCCTGGCCAGCAGGGCTCAGCACCTTCCCAAGGCGCTCTGTGTCAGCAGTTAAGAGCCAAACTGCTTTTCCAGGTAGGAGGATGCACACGGAAGACAACTTCTGCTTCCTATGTATACATGTTTGCGATGTAATGATGAAACAAGTTTGGTAGTAATTAGATACCTTTTAATTCCTGCAAAAGTTAGCCGACTCGATCAGATTTTGGCAAACAATACATTTGTACTAAAGGCTCACTTATTTTAAAAAGGTTACTCTAAAGAACAGAATCAGTTTCACTGATGAAGACGTTCAAAAATAACTCAGTCAAACCTATAATTTCCCCTTTACAGCCAGGCAGGCAGGACTCTGTGCTGAACCATTCCCTCCCCTACTACACAGAGCTGTGGACCTGCACGGTCATGGCACACCTCATGTAATGCAGCCCAGGAGAATGGTTTCCCAATTTCCCGAAGGTCTTCACATTAATCCCAAGGCCAGGTAATTCTATAGTAATTTCAAGTGGAAAAAATGAAATGTTTTTATTTTAACGTATACTTGTGGAGAAAAAATATTCCACCATTTTACAATGAGGGGAGGAAAGTAAAATGTATTGACCATTTAAAGGCCAAAATCACACCAGGGCAGATAGATGGCAACAGGAACCCCCTCACCAGCCCACCCAGCTCAGATTCTCTGAATCATTCTCTCCATTATGTGATATGCTTCTATACTGCTTGGCCCAAAAACTTCTCAAGGACTTTTCTTTGCCTACCCTTGCAGAATAAATGTGTGTAAACATTTACAGTACTCAGATTCAACGAACAGGCAAGGAGATTTAAGAAGGTGGCATGAAGAACACACTATTAAGTTGTCAAGGTTTTCGAAAGGAAACCTCCTATTATCTGAAAGCCTCTTAGCACAGTCAGTACCCATCCCTTCCCCCTACTTCTATAACTGATGCCTTCACCTAAGTCTTTATGGTTATTTATAACCTTAGAACTGGGTTAAAACTGCAAGTTTTTAGGCTTATTTGAGTGTCACCACATGCTTTTTAACAATGAGCTAACCTGGGTGCTAGGTGGCATTTTGATTTATTCTAGAAACATGTAATAACGCAAGTCCAGGAACTGTCCTCCACACCAGAGGTGCCAAAAGGACTTCTGACAGGTGGTGATACTGAAAGAACCTCACACTCTTGTTGCTTTCTCATGACCACCAAAAGTCCACCTTTATCATCAGCATGCTGGTAAAAGAACTACAAGGTCTCAAAACTCCACTGCAGTTTTTGCAGTGCTGGGGGAACTGCTGCATTGTTGATCCATGCCAAACTAACTTGTTTCTCCCTCCTGAAAGGGCAATCATAAGTTTCTGCCCATCCTCCTGCCCAGCAAGAGAGAAATTACCTCAAGGAGCACAGTCTTAGAGGTGCGGTTAACCCCTTGCATCAATGTTTAAGTTCCCAGCAAGATTGCCCATCACTTACGATTATTATAATGATTTTTATGACTAATGATATACATTCAGCAGTCTTGCTTTCCTGGCTAGTCCTGTGCTTGCTTCTATTCAATTGAACCTATCTCAGAAGTAGGAAGCCTGGTAGACTGAAGCTGGGCTTTTCAGACCTCATGTGACTGAAACTGTTCCAGTTCAGTTTTAAGTCCAGGACCAAACTGGCTCATTTGCTTCCAACCAGATGAAACCATCTCACATATAAAACTGAAGTGGGTGAAACAGAGACAGCCTATCCCCAAGAATCTCCTTTTCCCTTGACAGAGCACAGCACCACTTGGAATTTTAGTATTGTCCACTGCTGCCGATTCCTACATCTGGCACGAACAAGGGATGATGCAGCACAGGAGAGGGAGGGAGGGAGAGGAGAGGCGGGAGTGTGCAGTATGGCACTGTGCTTTGGGTCCTGGGAATGGGTCCCTGCTGGGGAACGGGTGTAACAGATACCAGATTTCAGCTGGACTGCTATCCTGGACAGGAAGCAGACCATGTTTTGGTTTGGTTCTGATTTGGATTAACTAATGCAAGCCAAAACCCCACTGAAATCAGGCTTGGTTCCTGCATGAGTGAAAAAAGGCTACAGTCCCAGCTAACTCGCAGCTCAGTGCCGTGTGCTAAGCTCTCACTAGGCAGCACTGTGTGCCACTTCAGGGCTCTGGTCATCTGAACCGCTTCTTCCATTTTGTCCAGTCCTGTCCACAGGCAGCTCTTACTGGGATACAGACCTGCTCCATTAAACCTCTTGCACTTCAACACCAGGCAACCTGCAGGTCAAAGCATCTTCCGTTTGCCTCTGGCTGGCATCCCCTGGGAACTGGTCAGCAAGAGAGATCTCAATACCTAAACACTAATTGTATTTTCAAATCTGTGATCCATTTGTGGCCCAGGGAATGAGCCCAGTGGGATCCAGAATGGAGCCCCAGGCCAGATTTTAACAGAACCATTGTGCCACATGCATGCTCCTCCTTGCTCTTCTCTCCTGATTCTTGGAGCACCACATAAACCCACAGCTGTGATCTCAGGAGCACATTCAAAGTAATAAAAGCATGAATCATACCTTGTAATTACCACCCACCCACAGTCTTCCCCAGGGCAAAACCTAGAGTGAGTGCAGACCCCAGACAGGGTCATGCTTGTAGGCCAGTCCTGGAGTGATCTTTACTGCACTACATAGCTTGTAGTAAGAAACAGCTCCTGTCTCAACCTGCCTGCAGTCTTCATGGATAATGTTTTTTATTAGTTGCACCCTCTTATAGTGGCAGTTGATGATTCTTCCTGATGTAATGAGGTGGTTTTGCAGCACAGAGAAGCCACCTCCACTGGTGTAAAGATGGTTATACACCACGCTTGCCACCAAGTGCTATTTCATTAGCTCATTTTCCTTCCCAAGGTCCAAGTCCTGGACATTGTGACCGCTAGCCTCAGTCAGCCCTGCTGTGCACCTGCAGGGTGCCTGGGGTAGGGGTGAAAAACATCAGGGAGATGCTCTCTGCAAAACTCATGCAACCAACCAGAGGAGCACTGGCAATGCAAGATGCAAAAGCAGTGGCCACCGCACATCCAAGTACCCACAACCCCAGACACTCAGTGTAAGAACTGTTTAGCTACCAGTCCTCATGAAGCTCACTGAGTCTGGAGTGAGGCACTGCCCTCAGATTAAGTCTCCTCTGTTTACACACATCTCCTCACACAAGGGCCACATAACCAAATGGGGACCAGCCAGATCTATGGGACCACCAGACCCAAGCACAATGAGAGAGGGGGAGCAAAGATGAAACAGGATGTGGGCCCCAGTAGTCTGCTATTCCAGCTGAATATTGCAAGGAGCAAATGCAAAAGCCAAAGTGACAGGAATTGCGGCATCAAGTACCTTTTAGATGATAACAAAGAAAAAGATAAGACTAAAAGCTGAGCACAGGAGACTTGCAGTGCTAGCGGAACAGAAGCTTGTATCTAATACCAAGTGATTTTCCTCTTACACAGTTCATTTTAGGGCAACGCTCACCCTCACAATGCCAGTCCCACAGCCTGAGGCTGCTCCGATTTAGGCACCTGACTGTTCAGGAACAAACATTTCTCTTTGTGAATAATTTAAATTCGCTTGTTTATTTAGGTTTCATTTGGGCTCTGTTTCTTGCTGTTTGAACCTTCTGAGCTTACAGCTAACTGGGCTGTGGATGCACAGAGCCCCTCTGCAGCCCTTCCATTTCTGTAAGGGAACCATCAGTTTCACCAGTAACTCCCCACATGCTTTAAGCACATACAGAGCAAGCATAACCCCTGTAACATAACCCCAAAATCTCAGGCATTCTCTTTGTTGTTCATCTTGCTGCAAACTGAGATTACTTCCTGCTTTGAGATGCACATTTGACAGTAGCTCCACAAGAGTGCTAAGCACACAAGTAACTCTTTTGTGGCAGTGGCATGTCCAGACCAACAGCTCCAGTCTTAAATCAAAATAGATATGGGTATCTGACACTCATGGAGACAGCTATCCAACACATACTCGACACCAACACTGTCACTCGGACAAGCAAGCATACCAGCTGAGCTGCAAAGAGGCACAACTCTGCAAGTGCAGAAAACAACAGCAAAGCCCCAGCAAGTTGCATTCTGAATGGTGTCAGCATCTTGCAGTTGTCAGATATAAAGCATTCCACTGCCTGAACACAGCCTTCTGAAAAAGTGTTATTACCACTATTCTTAACAGGGCTCCAGACACATTAGAGGAAACCAGGAAAACAGTACCGACAAGTTACACAGCTGTTTCTCAAAGCAGCAATATCCTAAATAGATCTGTTCCAGGCAATGTGCTCACCGTGCAGAGTGGCCGTGCTTGCTTGAGGCACCACCACCTGTACCCACCTCTCAGCCTGTAGTTAGGAGCCCCTTTTCAGCACTGTACACACTACTACATGCATGTGCACCCCACCACACACACCACTCACAGAGAAACACATTCCTGACTTACCCTTTAGGCAGGCAGCAGCCCCAGACCCTCGGAACCTCCTGCAGAAGAGTTGATGGAGTTTTACCTCGTTACCCAGTGAGGGCGTTATATAAGTGGCACCGTTTCTGCAGGCAGTGGGGATGCACCAGCCGCGCTTCCCGGCGCGCATCCCTCTCCTCCTCCCCATCCCACATGGACAAGTCTGGCAACGGCCGCGCCACAGCCCACCAGGGAGGGGCAAGGTGGGCTTCAGGGTGCTGGTGAAAAACAAAGCTAATGGAATCAAAGAAAGTTCAAAAGGTGCCTGACATTTATTAAAAGGCATTGCTACTATTAAAGGATGCGGAGCAACGGTATCGTGTTCCTTAGCCTGCTGAAAGCAGCTTGGCCTAGATTTTCCTGTACTGTTTGATGTGACCATTCATGCAAACAAGAGTAAAACTTTCTCTCTGCTTTTAATTAAGCCAAAAAATAAAATAAATAAAAAAGTACATGTACAAAAGACCTTTTTCTGCTGTTATCTGGGTCTTCTGAGCTACCGTTAGACAGAGAATATGCAGGAATCAGCCCCATTGATTAAACTATTATTAGCAGCAAGCAAACAGATGTGCTCAACAACAGGACAAACCCCATGCCCTGTACTTCTGGACTAGATGCAGAAGAAAAAAACAAACCCCAAAGCCAAAAACATTATTTTGCCAAAGGCTGAGTTGGTATTTTAGCAAGGAAAAGTGGAAACATTCTCTAGCACACTGGGCAGAAGCAAAGAACACAGCATTTTAGTCTGCAGAAATCAAGATAAATAAATGACATTATTGCCTTTGCTCTGTTCTCACAGACAAAACCCTTCCAGCTTTTATAAGACAGGTGATAGTGCCCATGAACCATTGGTGGACACAGCACACAGCCCACAAATGATAGGGGGTCTAGCTTCAGGACAGACATAAAACTCTTATGTAAGCCGTAATCCTCTCACAGACTCCTTATTCAGTGATTTTAAGGTCTGCGCTGTAGGAGCCTGCCGGCATCCCAGTGCCTTTTAACCAATTTGGCAATGGGGAGACTTCAGTTGCAGTCACTGACACTGCTATTACCGTCAGTGCCCAGCACTACTTCACAGGGTTTTGGATCGTACAGCATTTCTGTACACGAGTGTTTTGGTCCTCTGCAGAATTGGCACTGTTGCTATCTGTGCTGAGTGAATCACCAGGATTAATCTCCTGCGGAGTTCACTGAGGCTAACGATAATCAAGTTAAATTTACACTATGTGATCAGAGTTTAATTAGGTACTGTTATACAACCCCTATTAATTACAGTGATAATACCCTTACGAAATGCAGATGGGAGGGTGGGGCTGTGGTCAAGCAGGAGCTCAGATGATTTTAGGAAAAAGACGCATTAAAAGGCTCTGTGTGTACCTTTAGTTACTTGCTCGTCAATGCCAGTGCTCAAGACGAAAAAAAAGCTTAAATATATATATATATATATACACACAATCCTGTGAATTGTAAATCTAGAAGACAGGATTAAAGACCTCCCACGTTACCTTTTGTTTACTCCAAGAAGAACAACTGCCATTTAAAATCCCAGAGACAGAATCATCATTATCTTGCTGTGCTCAAAATCCTGCCCAGAAAAGCCTTTGAACTGAGATATTAACTCACTTGAAACCAAGGCAGGTCTTCCCAATATTATTAAAGTTTCTCTCTCCTTCCCTGAGTTTACCTCTCCAGATTACCTGTTGGTGAGAGCAGACAGCAGCTCATGTTTGACACTGGCTCTGTACAGGCACAACCTGCCCTAGGACACAGACTCCATGTATGCCTACATGGCTACTCCTCTCCATGCCCCTGCAGAGCTTTGAGAGGATGCTGTGGGGATAGGGGACTAACCTGAGCCCCTTGTTGAGCTACTACAAACCAGGGTGTCTCTGCCGATGAGGTGCAGCCAGGGGGGACACCGCATCACGAGCCACATCACAAGTGCAGGAGCAGACTCCAGCTTTCAGTGGTCACTAGTGGCTGTGTTGGGAGACAGATTGCACAGGATGAAATTTCAAACCCAAGACTAGGTCTTTGTTTTCAGTAAATCTTGCCTGAGGTGTCCTATAAAAAGAGCAAAGCTTGTGCTGTGTGGCTCCCATTTAGCATCTCTTGAATGTGTTGGATGGCTTCAGTGAAACCTGCAAGAGACTCTGTGCTGCTACTGCCACTCGTGGTAACACCAAAACCCTGGCCTTGCACTCCTGTGGTCAAAGATGCAAGTAAAATTCTCCATTAAGTAAATAAGCAACACAAAGAGCTAGGCCTCTTGGCAAGAACAGGTGCTGTTCTTAAACACAGACACCTGCATGAGCCTCTCGATCCTCTGCAAATCACTGCTCAGTGACTGTGTCCCAGGGGAACCCCTGGCACTTTGCCATGGCTGCCACTGCTGATTATTTATTTAAAACCCCACAAAATAGGAAACACACTTCCTTTTCACCCACTTCACCAGACAGCAGCAAACTAGCAAAACCAGCACACCCCAGCACTCCCACTTTGCACAAAACTGTGTAAAACAAGCAGTATGTCACTGTAGCTTATACTAGATAATTATGTAGCTGGCAGGGCCAGGTAATTAATATCTTTTTACATTTTGGCTATAATACACTAAACTGGCCCTTAGCTGGAGGATACTGTGGCATGGGATCAGAAACTGCTCATGAATGCTCTCCAGCTCCCACCTCACCACTACTGTTTCTCACTCTGTAGGCAGACTGAGATGGGCATCAGGCCTGCACGTACTTCTCACAGTTCACAGACATCGCAGATGTGTATGCTTTAGAAGATCCTTAGTCCCTCCTAGCCCCGGAAGCTCCTAACAAAGACTATGAAAGGACCCTTGCTTTTCTGGAACCATGGGGCTAGCAGAACATCTCAGCTCCCTTGTTGGGATTTTTGCTTGATTTAAGCACAAAGGACTCTCTATTCCTCATTTGTGTAGGGGCTGGCTACAGAGCATAGGTGGGACCCAGATCTTCCCCACAAAGGGATGCCTTGAGCACCTGCACATCCTCATCTCAGGACAGCAATGCTGTGAGAAGAGAGGTAACAAGCTTTGCCCAAGGCCTTCATCACTTTATCTGCTGTCATGACACTTTTTGGTCCCTCACTGCTGAGGACGGCACTTGTGACACGCTAACAGGAACACAGCAATGCTCCTGCAGCAAGGCTTTGATTTAGGAAGCAGAGCTGCTCAGCCCACTCTGCTCTTGCTGATGTAGTGACCTGGTTTTGTCAAGACTGTTTTTCTCCTTTCCTCTTTGATGTCATTTTGGAAGGGAAGTCATAAGATTTTCATGAAGGCATTGACTAAAAGTTGGACTAAAACAAAGCCAATCACAATACCATTACAAATGAATGAAGGTGCAATTTCCCCTTAAAGGATTATTATACTATTTAGGGTTCTAGCACATTTATTTCCACAGTTTAATAATCACTTTCACGCTCCTCATTGGACTATAATCTTATCCATTTATATTTTAATGTAACAAGTTACAAGGATTATCAGCTTGTAATAAATATGCTCATCCCCTAAAGCACTTAAACAGCCACTACACTTCATAAAGGAAATCTTGCTTAATGAGCAGGAATCTACAAAAGAACAAGGAAACCAATACCATGTTACATGAAACACCATCAAACTGCAAAATTCACACTGTGTAAGTCACTTTTCTGTGAAATTAGATTTATTTTGGCATGCAGACACTATCTTTACTATAGTATACTTTTAAATTACTTTTTGCATAAGGGAGGGCTTGGAAGTCACAAAGATTGCCCTTTGCATTGGGAATTAATTTATCTTGCACTCTTAAATTTGGAACGATACATTACATTCAGCCTATGCACAGGATTACATCAAACCAATAGATCATTCAATTCAAATTAAAGAAAGCTGTCAATATCAGCTAAGAGGAATCTACCTGAAAAATCCCACCCGACTTGTGCTCAGGTCAGTTGTAGTGCTGAAGTGTCCATGAAACCATGCTCGCGGAAGCCAGCTGAAAGCAGCTCTCTGTCAGAGCAAGTTAAAAAGCTCTCTTGGCCTACTGGCCTGTGGTCATCAATCACAGTATTTTTCTACTTGCAGTTGTCTTGAGAAGGGATGGGAGAAACTAAATATTACTTGTCAAGCTATAAAGACATTCCGTGCCTATTCATACAGCTGCCCAAAATAGCAGACTTGTCTCACCTAAACTTCTGGTATCAGCTGAAAAAGTCCTGAGTTTACAAGGCAGGACCATTAATTACCCTCCAGAGTTTTCACTCTTTGAACTTCAACACACAGCTCTTCATTTCTGCTATGGTGGAATTTCTTCTTCCTCCCACATGCCATGTCTGCCAAAAGTGTTTTTCCTCCACTGAAAAATGTGAAGTTGATGGTCTAGGCTGCTTTAATCCTTTATTCTTGCAGATGCACGTTCCATTTAACATGGGGTATAAAGCTTAAGCCTATACAGGACTCAGTCAGTCACTTGCACTTCTGCAGGTTCTAGAACTAGTTCAAAAACTCCATTCTCAGCATCACGCTTGCTAAGGAGAATTCCAGGAAAATAGAAGTGCTACAAAACCTCCAAAACCTTTATAACAGGAATTCACAGCTAGCTTGTCCTGAGCTGAAGTCATACTGAAAGAAGCTTGTAGCTCTGGCTGATTGAGAGTATGGACACTTCTGTTCTGCAGCCTCTGTAATTGCAGCTGGTCCCTCCCACCCTGTAAGATGGGGAAGGGAAGAGATAGCTACACATGGGGTTTCTACTGTTTCTGGAAAATCAGTCTCAACAGTCTTTTCTTACTCATCCCAGTATCTGCAGAAGACCTTTGCCCAATTAAAAAAGCCAATGCAAAACCACAGCCAAGAAACTGGCTACCTTTCATGCAGTGAACTGTACTGATCAAGCTCTCTTTTCTTTCAGCTGCAGTGCATGGTGCATCATGCTTCAAGGCCATACCTCATTTTGGCTTTAAAAAAACTTTGTTGTGTTAACATGGGAGCCAGCTCCAGCAAAGGGTGTCTTACCACAGCATGGGTCTTCAGCAGCAACACTGACTTGAAGCACCTACATCCATCCTCCACGCTACATTCTCAGTTACACCTGCACAACCATTAGCAGGACAATTTCATCAGTCAGAATGCAAATAGAGAATGCTTTTATCCTAGATCAGTGTAGCATCTCATACATCCCGATACTCTCCACCTGCAGGATTAACAGGCCTGAAGACAAAACATTACAGATCTCTGCCTTCTGCTGTCTTTTAATGTATCAGAGCCACAAAACTTCTGGCATCACCATGACATTATAAACACACCAGACTAGGATCACTGCAAATGTGAACAATAAATTAAATCTAATGCTGTTTTCTTCACTTAGTGAACAGATTTTGCAAAGCTCCT